TTGGCCAACGGACACCCGGCGCGGCCGGGGCCGGAGCGCTGAGCCACGCAAAACGTCCGAGGTGCTGACGGTGACGATCATTTCCCGGTTGTGCGTCTACCCAGAGGAAAGGTCACGGCTGTCTTTGTGTTTATCCCGTTCCTGTTATCTCGCCGGTTATGTAACGCGTTCCTGAGTCACGGTCCGGTTGTTTGTCCGTGCTTTGTGCCTCAGAGGAAGGCGAAAAAAAGGGCACGAAGAAACGTAGGACGTAATTCTAGTGAGACAACTATGAGACTGTAGCATACTAACGTAAGCAAGTCACTATGAAACACAGTAAAAAACAGACTTGATAATAGGATTTTTATTATCACCAGAGTTAGATGCACCTAGGATTTGGCTGTGGCAACCACCTTGCTACCAATTCATACAACCTGAATCCTGTGTATTATGCTGAGTAATACCACCGCTATTACAACCACCTTTCCCTAATACGCTGTGTGATTGTACCATGAGATAGCTATGCACAGACCAATCCTTTGTTACTGAGCCTGCTCCAGTCCCACTGAAATCAGATGGCTTCTTTTTCCAGTTTCTCCCTTCCAGCAGATCAGGAACTATATAGATCCAGCTCTTCTTTTAAAAAGAAAAAAAAGCTGTACCAACTTATTTTAATTTAGTGGTCTCCTCCATACAGGTTTTATCTTCACGCTCAAGAATGTGAAACTTCTTCCCTACTGGAATCTTGCACAGGATCGAGGCAATAGGATTCAGAGCTGAGGAAGATGCTGTTAATTCACTGAGACCCTCTGCTCACTCTGGAAGGTCTATTGGTGTCATTCACTGGTCACACACTTCCTGGCTGCGTGTGCTAAATTCCTCACGAATATATGAAGTTCCCGGCATTCGCATTTCTCTAGCGAACTCCCCTCTGATCACACTCCTTGTCCTTTTCTCCCTTTTGGTTTTCCTCTGTATCAGTAAGATACTTTCCTTCCGGCTGAGGATTCGTTAGCTATGACATTAGCTAGTGACCAGACTGATAAGAGAGACAGACTGATAAGGCTGACTTTGCAAACTCTGCTAATTAGTAAAAGGCATTTGATAGCAGCCTGCAATATTTTGAAATAACAAACGAGGACCAAAACAAAGCATCGTATTGGTCGTTGTCATAGATGTCGCTCACAGCAGTCAGTCCATCCGGAAAGCAATAGGACGGTGTGAGAGCCGGGAAAGCCGCGGCGGGCGAGGGCGCAAGCGAGGCCCGAACCGAAACACTGAGACGCCGACGCCG